AACTAAGGACCTTGCACTTGCCAGGCAGGCACTTGTGCTGCTGAACCATATCTCTGGCCCCAACTGAAGTTTATTTTTACTCTAACAATGACATTTTGACATGATAATCTTATAGACAAAATTTTTTATGCAAAAAACTATAGTCACTTAAAAATGCAATCTAATCTTATTGTCAGATGGTGATTATAAATATATGAAAAATAAAATTCAAATGAAACATTTTAAAGAAACAAGTATACTTTCATAATTTGTTATTTAACTGCAGAAACTAAAAGAAAAAGAATCTGCTTTACGGTTAGCAGAGCAGAATATTCTTTCAAGAGACAAAGTAATCAATGAACTGAGGCTTCGATTGCCTACCACTACAGAACGAGAAAAACTTATAGCTGAACTGGATAGAAAGGAGGTGGAACCAGCGTCTCATCATGCAATGAAAATTGCTCATCAAACCATTGCAAACATGCAAGCAAGGCTAAATCAAAAGGAAGAAGTGTTAAAGAAATACCAGCATCTTCTAGAAAAAGCTAGAGAGGTATTTCATTATATTTTGCTATACTATTTTATTTTTTTCAGTCAAATGCCAAATCTTACTGTGTCATAAAATGCTACTTTATTTCTTGCTTTCATATAGTTCTGTTTAGAAATTGTTACTTTCACCTGACTGGATTATAGGTCTTTTAAGTAAATCTGGCAGTTTGTGTATGTGCATCTGTATCTTGTGGACTAACCAAACCAGAAACAGCTGTCACAGTGAAACCTTAAGATTTTAAAAATATCAATTCATAGGTAAGAGTTGAGGCAATAATTACCATGAAATCTACCATATTAACAATCAGTGAAAATCAGATTTTCTAGAACTAGGATGGGGTGAGGGACCCTAACATTTAGAACATTTTCTAGAATCATGTTCAAAGGTTGAGGTTGTGAACGTACACATTCGTTAGGGGAGATATCTAAGTATATCCATGCAGATAATATTCTTTTTCTATCAGAGATTTTAGAATATTAAAAATAACAAAATATGTAAGATCTTCAGAATATAATTTACTTGAATCAAAATTTAAATTATAATTTTGATTTTTGGTAAAATAGGAACAAAGAGAAATTGTTAAGAAACATGAGGAAGATCTTCATGTTCTTCATCAGAAATTAGAATTACAGGCCGACAGTTCACTCAATAAATTCAAACAAACAGCCTGGGTAAGCCTAGATTTTTGTTTTATTCTTTATTGATTTGTTAAAATCTTATGTTATAAAATTTATATCTTTTTTTTTTTCAAAGTAGAAGTTGTCTTACTGTTTTTGCTAAAATAATCTGAAAACACAGATTTGTTTATTCATGTTTTAAACCCAAACCCTTCAGTAAATTACTATTGCTCACAAAATCAAGGTTCCTTTCCTCAGCCATGCATACAAAGTTTTCTAATCTCAGACCTAAAACTTTCCAAACTTTACTCACTATAAGCTTAGGAGTAAACTTAGGCTTGTCATTTTGTGAACTCTTACTTGCCTCTTTAAGGCATTCTGTTCTCTGTGTGTAAAATGATGCCTTTCATCTCTTAACATGGAATCCTGGGATTCAGTGAGTCTTATTTCATTAATGTAGTCAACAGTTACTGGTGTGTACTACAAATAGACACTGCTGAATACTTGGAATGGATAAAGTCTTTATTTCTTGTCTTTAAGCCTTCATTGCCTATGAAATTATTAAAGTTTAAATCCTTTATTTTGGTCATTTGAGGAGTCAGATTAAAATTATAGAATAAGTAGTGACATTGAATTATACTTGTCCATGGCTGGCCAATGTGTTTATATTTCATAGGATTTAATAAAACAGTCTCCTACTCCAGTTCCTACCAACAAGCACTTTATTCGTCTAGCTGAGATGGAGCAGACAGTTGCAGAACAAGATGACTCTCTCTCTACACTTCTGTGCAAACTAAAGAAAGTATCACAAGAGTTAGAGAGACAAAAAGAAATCACAGAATTGAAAATCAAAGAATTTGAAAATACTAAATTACGGTAAGACTTAGAAATGTGTCGGTGTCGCTCCCGGCCAGCAGGAAAGACACACGACAAAGTCTGGCGGTGTGCAACCTTGCCTTTATTTGTCTCCGCGTGGGCCCCGCGAGGCCTCCGCTCTGTCACCAGCCCTTTCTCGCCAGTGGACTTTCTCTATCTCTCTCTGTGCTTTTCTTCTGTGCTTCCTCTCGTGGCGGGAGAGGCATTTACTTTTATAGGGTAACAGTGGCCAATCAGTTCAAAGCGCGCGATGCGGGCTGATTGGCTAACATCAGTTGTTGCTAGGCAGACTATCTTACAGAGCGGGTTGTTTAAGTCGCCAGCGCAATCAGGGGGCAGGAAGCAGGCGCCAACTTGACTCACTCGATGGGAGGGGCAATCTAGCTCAGGCTCCGCTCCCACCCACAGGCCCTACGTCCGCCAAGTAAGGCGACCGGTGTCGGCCGCGGCTCCCAACAGAAATGAACTTAAAATAAGCATATGGTAGTTGTGGTAATTAGGACAGAATGAATGTAAATGGGTTTGCTTTGCCAGACTTTGCTGTATATTATCTCATTTTATTCTTGTATTCTTATGGCATATTACTTTCCCATTTCTCAGATAGGAGACCAGGAAAGGAGGTGGGACTACCGCAGTTTGAAGCTAGTCAGTCTGTGTAAAGCCAATGCAGATTCTACGCAGAATCTTCTTTTTAACATCTTTGAGTGTCAGTTTCATCCTTTGGCAGTGGTAGTACTTAACCCTGACCCATTCAGAGTGGCTGTGTATGAAAGTCACCTGAAACTTGTAAAATTACATAAAAGTACAGAACTTCTGCTTGTATACGTAGTTATGTGTGGCACAAAGTAGAGGCTTAATAAATGATTGCTAAATGAAAAAGTAATTTATTTTATTAATTACACTAACAGTGTTGACAGCGTTCTGTATTTAAGAGATTCTAAACATTTTTCTGCAAATTTATCACACTAGATTTTAAACCTAAAACAGATTTATAGTTATGCAGTTTCTTGTGATTATAGAATATCTTTCTCATTTTATTTTAAAAAAGGTGACAAAATTGATGTCCTTAATGCAGAATTTCACTCCAGCCTCTTTTGGACCTTTCAATTATTTTCTCACATATTAAAAGATGCCTTTGAAAAAATTAATATGTTAATTAAGTAATTGCCATTTTTTCTCTGAATGAAATTTAGCAACAGCATATGATATGTTTTTAATCTGTTTTTCTCATTGTGCTAAAAATTTTATACATGAGAGTTTATTTTTGATATAGTAAGTTTATGTCATGTTTTGGAGGTACATAATTATCCTTTTAATTTCTGAGTGTAGAAAAAGTTCTGCATAGAATATTTTTCCTACATAAAATATTTCAAATAGACACCTTATGACTTTATAAAATGTTTATCCAAATATTGATTGTAGCAACCAATCAATTAAATACATAAATTTGTTTATATCAGGCTTCAAGAAAACCATGCAGATGAAGTGAAAAAGATAAGAACAGAAGTAGACGAGTTAAGGTCCCTCCTAGCCCGATCACAAAAGGAATCCCAGAATTTAAAGTCTGAACTTCAGGCTCAAAAAGAAGCCAACTCAAGAGCTCCAACAACTACAATGAGAAATCTAGTGGACCGGCTAAAGAGTCAGTTGGCCTTGAAAGAGAAACAACAAAAAGTAAGTACAGAAAGTTCTTAACACTTAGTAAAACTAAGAAGATTTATAAATGGCTTGATTGTAATAGTATAAATGTTTTTGTTATAGTAAAAAGTATAAGCTTTATCTCATGTTAAACAGGACAGATATTTCAAGATAATCCCTAAATAGAGTTTTTCAGTGTTTTTAAATGTGGATATACTTTAGTTTACCTTACATTGTCATCAGCAGTATCTGGGTTATTTTGTCCTTTTTGCTGGAATGTTTTTTTTCCCTGCTTGAGGCCAGTTCAAAAGGCCCAGTGATTTTGAATGACAGGGGTGAGAGGAACAAAGAGGGAAACACGCGATCATGAGAAGGAGATACCCAAGAAGGCTGGAGAGGGGTTTGTGAAGGCCTGAGCCAGTTCATTCACTTTCTCTGTCGTTAATCTGAGATTTGATACTGACACTGTTGGAAATTGCTGCTGTGTTTGTTAGCTCACAAAATTTTTGACAGGTGTTAGCCTTTCCTGCCCATTTTTTCTAACGTTGTATACCTAAATCAATTTTACATTGAAGGATATACTGAGTAAATCATTTATTAGTATATAACTTCAGTATTTGAAAACATGCCTGATTTTCATAATACAAATCCTTGATTAAATGTTGCTTTCTCATTTGTTTTTGAGATTTTTAACTCTTACATATAACTGGGAAAGAATTGAGTATAACTAAAAGAAGTTTATTTTAGAAAGTAGGTTTTAGGGTGATTTATGTTTTATGGTTTAGTGAAAAAATATTTTAGGAAAATAGCAGAATAAAATTTGTTTTTGTCATATATTGCTCAAATAAAATAGGTTTTTGTGTTTTTTAAAAATAATTTAAATATATTTAAATTAAACTTGTTAGTTGGTATGGCTGGAAGAACTTGAAAGAACAGTTTTAGCTACAGCATTTTTCTGATTGTGTCAGTTTAAGATGTCTTTTAAGGAAAAGATTTTTAATTTTTTTATATTTTATTTTCATTTTTATTAGCACATGTGTATAGTATACAGTATTTACATTCCTTATGGGAAGTTAATACATTTATGAAACATATTTTAATTCCTATTTTCATCCCCTTTCCTTCCCTCCCTCTCCATTCTACCTTTTTTTCATTATTCAGAGAATACCTTATTAGTCTTTGTAATCAGATTCATGTAGATAAAATGTATACATTTAATACAGAGCATTTTCCCTGTACAAATGGAAGAAATTAAGTTTATCGTTTCTATACCAATATGGCTATTAATTAACAACTCCACATGGTAAACTGAGTTGTTTTCTTTTTAAAAACATACTTACGTTTTAATTTTTAGGCACTTAGTCGAGCACTTTTGGAACTCCGGGCAGAAATGACAGCAGCAGCAGAAGAACACATTATTTCTGTAACTTCTCAGAAAGAGGCAAATCTCAATGTTCAACAGATTGTTGACAGACATACTAGAGAGCTCAAGGTGAATATCAACACGTACATTACTATAGCAGATTCCCAGAAGTTCCTATGGGAAGAGAATCCACTTAATATGTAGTAATTTGGATCCTGAGTGGGAATTTGTAATGAATTATTAGTGGGTGGATGCATACATGTATGCTTTTTGAACAGTATCAACTTTACAGTACTCGTGCACTGATTATCAAGAGAATTAGGAAAGGATTTAGAGCAGTTTAATGTTAAAAGCAAAATTGAGAGGAGGATATAGAGATTCTCATATAGCCTGCCCTCCCCAACATACATGCTTAGTTTCTTCCATTATCAGTATCCTCCATCAGGATATTTGTTACAATTAATGTACTTACAATGAAACGTCATAATTTTCCAAAGTCCAGATTTACATTAGATTTCACTCTTGATGTTGTACGTTCTGTGGGTGTAGACAAATGTATAATAATATACATCTCTGCATCATTATTACACAGTGCTGTAACATAAAGACTACTTTCATGGCTCCTAGAGCCTTCTGTGTGGTCTATTTCCCCCTACTTCCACCAACTCTTGAAACCACTGATATTTTTATATCAGTGGTTTCTCCACATTTTGGGCTTTTCCAAAATGGTTTATAGGTGGAATCATATAATGTGAAACCTTTTTAGATTGACTTTTACTTAATGCAAAACATTTCATCGTTGAATATATTCCATTGTCTAAATGTATCACGTTTTATATATTCACTCACTTTCTGGAGGACATGTTGGTTGTGAATTAAGCAGCTTTTACTTCTGAATTGATAATTGAGATGTGCAGATTTATTTCTTTTGCTTTATCTACCTATGTAAGTAGAAATAGACCTTTGTTAATGTCTTTTTTAATTCTAAAATACCATCTTGTCTGAATTCTCATTCTTCAAGTCTTGATTCACATCCTTTTCTGACTTACTTAACATTGTTTTACTTAAACAAAATAATAGGAATAATTTATCATTAGTAGTAGTAGTAGTCAGCCTGCAGTAATTTATTTTAATACACATTAGAGGCCATGTAGTGCAATGTTTCCATCACTGTCATTATATAAGATAGCTAAAAATGACTTCCTAGTGGAAATCAAATACTATGTAGTATTGCACATTTTCCTTTCATGTGTTGTCTTTACAAAGTACATTAGAACTATTTGATGTCAGCTATTTTGTTGTCTTTGCTCTTGCTTCATAGTTTATAAAGCATTGTCACATACACTGATAGGCACTTATTTCTTCCACTCAAGCACAATGAACCAGTTTTTTACTTCATAAAACCTTGTTTATGTTGTTGAACATTAATTCATTTTAGACTGTTATTTTCCTCAAAGTGGTTGGCTTATTTGACATGAATTTGAGGGGGGGGGGAATAATAGAGAGAGTTTTGTCTTGTTCACTGTTTTTGTTTTGCTAAGAACTATTGTATCATTTTTGTTTTGTGTTATTTTTATCATTGATGGAGATTCATGAATAAGCCCTTTTTCCCTCTTTAGTCACAAATTGAAGATTTAAATGAAAACCTTTTAAAATTGAAAGAAGCTCTTAAAACAAGTAAAAGCAGAGAAAGCTTACTGACAGATAATTTGAATGATTTAAATAATGAACTGCAAAGAAAACAAAAAGCATATAATAAAATACTTAGAGAAAAAGATGGACTTGATCAAGAGAATGATGAACTCAAAAGACAAATTAAAAGACTAACTAGTGGGTTACAGGTAATTTTATATTTAATTCTGATAGACTTCATAATATATAAATAGTATGTGGTTCCACTTTGTTATTTTTATTTACAGTGTTTCTAAAACTGGCATTCAGATTATTTTCATAAACATGCCTAATTCCTTTAGTGATTTCTATTGTATGTACAGTTCTAGAATAGTATATCTGTAAAATACCATTTTAGACTTACATATTACAGAAAACGTGGTTAGTGATGGGTTTAAAAATTTTTATAATTGGAATACCTAGTGTGTATTTTGATATTTATTTGTGGAATGTAAAGTGCCATCTTATTTTTCAGGGCAGACCTTTGATAGATAATAAACAAAGTTTAATTGAGGAACTTCAAAAGAAAGTTAAAAAACTGGAGAGCCAACTGGAAAGAAAGGTGGATGAAGTAGACATAAAACCTCTGAAAGAAAAGGTATGTAATAAAGATATTGAATAATATAAAATAATGACATTAAATTAAATATGTAGTTGATAAGTAATATCCTATGGTAATCAGAGGGTCTAAAACACGCTGGATAAGCAGAGAAGTCTAAGAAAAGTTTCTGTCCTTTAGGAATTCACAGTGTACTTAAGGAGGCACCATTGGTGTAACGTTATTTGGAAATTACTGCACCATCTACATTCACCTTTATGACACTACACTACTTCAAGTGTCTTTTAATATCATATATATCTGACTATATGTTTCTTCCCTAAATAATGGTTAGTGTAGGTTGGTTCTTTTGACCCTTTTAGATACTCTGAGATACCTACTTTGAGCCAAATGTGCTCTTTTTGTCTTTTAGTAGATTGGGCTATTATTTCAGATAAACAAAGTGATATGGAATATATTAGGTACTTTCTTAATACTCAATCACTAATACTCACCAGTTTGTAATACGAGATAAGGTGTTTAAGTTCTCACAGCTTTACTCTTAAATCAGTTTGTAATAAAAATGAGTGATGGGAATGATTAACCCAAAGAAAAACTAAAGTTAACTGAAATGCTTATAATTCAATTTATTATGAATAATAAACTGGAAATATCTTGTTAGTATATTGAAAGTACAGAAATTACCTAAGAAATTTTTGTGTTTTAGTAATTTTTGTTCTTGAAAGAAATCACTGTGGACATGCAATTGTTAAGAAAACTTTTTATTATAAAATTTACCCAGAAAGTACTCAGTATCTGTTAAATATTTTCAGTACCAGTGTATTTCAATAATAGAGTAGTATGCTCCAAGAAATACTTTAACATTTGTAACATCAGTGTCATTTTGAGGAAAATGATTGCATTTGTAAGCATAGATCTACAACATGCTTTCTGTCCACAGCTCTATTGGTGTATTAGCTTTCCATGACTGGGACAAAATACTTGTCATATACAATTTAAAGGTTCATGTGACTTACGGTAGCAGAGGAGTGAGTTAATGGTCTCTGGTGCCTAGGCAGAAATGGCTTGAAGGAAGGCGCTGGTGAAGAAAAGCTGCTTAACCCAAGCACTAAAAGTAGGGAGTAAGGACGCATCAAGAAGACATACATCATCCAACAGTATACCTCCAGTGACCCACCTTCTGCACCAGGGCCACAGTTCCCAACAGCACATTAAGCTATGAACTTATAAATGTATGAGTCCACCTTAGAGTAGAGTGCCCATGATCCAGTCACCTTCTGAAAGCTACCTGTAAACACATTAGACTTTTGTGGGATTTTGTTTATTTTGTGATGCTGGAGATTGAACCCAGGGCCTTCTCACTGAGCTGCCTCACCAGCCCTCTTTTATTTCTTTGAGACAACATCTTATCTCAGTAAGTCACTAAGTTGACCAGTCTGGGTTTGAACTTTTAATCCTCCTGCCTGAATTACATAGACTTGCTTTGGCTCCTTAATCAAAATTATAACAAGCTATTGTGCCATTCTGATTAACAGCTGACTTCCTATCACTATAATACCCTACTTCCTTGCTTTTCTTAAGAGCACTTAGAACCAGGCAACTTTCCACCTGAATTTTTTTTGGTTTCTCGTTTTATTATATATGTATTTACTATCTATATTTTGCTCCTTTCCCTTCCCAGTCAACCAACATAAACTATATTGTAGTACTCATGAAGATACAATTTTTCATTGGTTTTATTCATCGCTTCTAGTTCTAGTGCTTAGAACAGTACCTGGCATGTGGTTAGCACTATGTGTATAGAAGGGGTGAAGTAATGTGTACTGAAGACTTGATGACTTGTGATGATGGGAGAGTGTCATGGACTAACAAAAGTAGATCAGTCATTTCCATATAAAATTTTTTGTTAGAAGCTTATTTTAGTCATGATCATATATTATAATCTTCATTTTAAGAATTTTTAAAGGTTCTGAAAATCAAAATTTACCTAGAATTTTATCTGAAGTTGTAGAATAAAGCCTGTTTAGACTGAAGGTCACTTTTGCTAATATTTTAGTATGCCTAAAGAGTCTAAAAGTCGCATAGCAAAATGAGTTTATTTACATACTGTTTTGGAAATACTAATTTACTATTTTTTTTAGGTAGATTGTAATTGATAAATCTTAAAAATAATACTGGTAATTTTACAGTTTATTTGTTATTGCTTACAGAGTGCTAGAGAAGAATTAATTAGGTGGGAAGAAGGTAAAAAATGGCAAACCAAAATAGAGGGAATGCGAAACAAGTTAAAAGAGAAAGAAGGAGAAGTTTATACCCTAACAAAGCAGTTGGCTACTGTGAAGGATCTTTTTGCCAAGTAAGTTTAAATTTTGTTGTAAAACATAATATTTAAAATCTTCTGGACCGGGGAGTTAGGTAGGCAGCACAGTGTCTGCCCGGCAAGCATGAGGTAATGAGTTTGATCTCTGCCCCCAAATTAAAAGTATTTATCTGGAAGGTATCATTTTATCATAATTGATAGTGTGAAATGTTTTCTAGTTTTAAGTATTTATCATTATGACTCACTTTTTAAAAATGTGCTTCATATGCATTTTTAACAATTGTAAGTGGAGTTTTCTATGGTTTTGAAGTTAGTTCATACCAAATACAGAATGGTATAATTAATGTTCTTTATTCTAATGTATATCATTCTATATTCTAATGTATATCAAGCTATAACCTAATAAACTAAACAAGCCAAACAATAAATGCCATATTTTCATGATTTTATGCTGTATTCTACAGAGCTGATAAAGAGAAACATACTTTGCAGAGGAAACTAAAAACAACTGGAATGACTGTTGATCAGGTTGTTGGAGTGCGAGCTTTGGAGTCAGAAAAAGAGTTGGAAGAATTAAAAAAGAGAAATCTTGACTTAGAAAATGACTTACTATGTCTGAGGTAAGCTATCATATGGAAATATAGTACCTATTTTGATGAAAACCTGCTTGATAAAGAAATAATGAATGTGCATTGTTTCAAATTTGGGTTGTGTTGGCTTTTCTCATTGAGATGAGATATTCCTGGCTTTTTATATGCTGTTTGGATTGTATACCTCTGCAGCCTTAAATATTATGCTGTAAGCCCTTGAGTCTTCTAAATTCAGTGGAAAATGTATTTTTGTTTTAGCAAAATGTATTTTTGTATTTTTGTGTACTCTGGTTAGGTCCAGGCTGCAGATTCCAAGCTCCTTTCTGTGGCTGTGATTTCAACATCAGCTCTGTTTTCAAAGCTTCTGCAGTGCTGTTTAGCTCTGTCCTGCCTGTGGACCTCCCAGTTTCCTGCTGTCTAATACATGAGCTGTGTCTTACTCAATTCCCACAATCCTCTGTATTCTGATTCCTCGGAAGCTCACAGATAACTTTATATAGCCCTTTTCCTGAACTCCTTCCTTTCTGTTATTTTGATGGTATTCCTTTTAACCTCCAGCTCTTCACTTGGGTACTTTGGATAAGATGTGGGACTTGGCACCTTTTATGCTCTGCACTTCAGCAGATGTACATATCTATAGCCAAATGTGTAAATTTTGTGTCACTGACAAAATCCTTGAGAAAATAAAGAAGGAAGATTTTGACCCATGGTTTCAGTGTATGGTTACTTAGTTGCCAGAACATCAATGCAACCAGAACACTGGTAGAAGAGAAGGCTCACTTCGTGGTGGCCAGGAAGCAGAGACAGACAGATAGCCCGACAGACAAACAGAGGGATAATGTCAGGGTCTAATATAGCAAGTTGAGGACCAAGTCTTCAACATATGAGCTTTTGAAAGAAATTCTATCTAGATCTAAACTGTAATTCCAGGCAGCAGTGAGAAAACAGAAGGAAGAGGGGGAAAAAAATGACTCACCTCATTGATATTACAGCTCCATTCCTGAAGAAGATTGTCATAATTTTTAAATAGCAAAATGTGTGATAAATTTATGAAATCCTCATATTTAAATATTACAGGCAGATGACCTTGACAGTGAGTAATCACATGATTACAGTTCATTTGAGTGCCTTTGGCTGAGAAAATAACAAATTATATATAACATAAGCTAATGTTGGAAGAAATAACTAAAAGATAAAAACTGTAAATAGTTTTAGTTTTTAGGACATGATTCTTTTATTTTGTATGACGTGACTTTATCAAAAAATGTAGTTTGGAAAGAGATAGCAAAGTGAAAGAAACCTCAGAGGCTCCCTTAAAAGGCATGGTGGCAGTGATGGGGTGAAGGAGTGGTGGTTCTGGGCATCTGTTTGAGGGCTTGGAAAATTCAGTAGTACAAGGTCGATTTGGATCAAATACTCAAATTTAAGTATCAGCCAACCAGCAGTGAATTCACCTTTGCTTTGCCTCTGTTATTACCTGGGCTGAA